ACGCCGACGGCCACAGCGAAGGGCTATGCGTCAGCGCCGTAGCATACGCCGGCGTTTGACGCAGAAGTATAAATCAGCCTTTAGGTGTGAACACTAACAAATACTGCACATATTATAAGGCATTTATTGGAAAACAAAATGACACGCTGTAAACAAATAAGCAAGCAGGATATTTGCATTTCCTTGATATTATACAACACCACATTCAATGATCTATTCTAAAGTGTCACAGTTATACACCCAAATGAGGAGGATAAACTCATGTTGTTTTCTTTACATCAGACCAACCAGATTGTATCAGTAACTTCCTGTTGAATGACATTTGTGAACTGCCAGCTTCTAAGATATTTAGGCCTCTCAGTTAAACACTGTTGCTGAGGCAGTATCTTTTAAAAAGGTACTTATTTACTAGGGTAATGCTATAGCAAGGGGAGGAGCAGCACGGCACATCTTTGCCAGTGTGGGTGTCGAGGAGAGTTGAAATCAAGACAACTTAATGGTAATGAGTTACGACGCTGTTTGATGGCAAACAATCTAAATGTAGAAGTGCACAGCTTGAGTCCAGCCGGTGTCCTGCTGATCTTAGCTCCAACTTGCCTCAACACACCTGCCTGGAAGTTTCTAGTATACCTAGTAAGGGCTTGATTAGCAGGTTCAGGTGTGTTTGATTAGGGTTGGAGCTAAACTCTCCAGGACACCAGCCCTCCAGTACAGAGTGTTTAACAGGAAGAGAAGTGCTCTCGCTCAGCACAGTGCACATTACTTTAGTTATATTGTTTTGTATCATGTTTAGTCAGTTGGGATGCAGTGACACACTGTCAACTATTTTCAGAACCGATTCACCACATTTGACACTCATAAATAAATCATAAAGACCTCGTGCTGCAGGCATCAGGTTTACTGAAGGTGCAGCTGATGTGCAGACTGGGGGTGGGGGGTCTATCTTTAATGAACTATGACAGTTCGTGTTCAAGAATGATGAACAAATCCATATGAAACAGTCCCTTAAAAGTGACCTTGGGTCTTCAGTTTCAGGCGCACTTTGCACTCATGTGTACTGCACCAAAGCACAACCATACCGTGCTCTGGCACACCTCTTCCTACTGAACCATGCCTGGACTCAATTCGGACAACTCACATTTGTCACATGAACCCGTAAAAGTTCCCGGGCACAGTTCAGATAGCCTAGTGTGAGGGCGCACTCAATTAACTGCAAGCATTTCTCATTTATTCTGGTGTTCAAATACAAGCATGAGCAGGCCTACATTATTTAGACTAGGCTTAGATTAGGCCTATTATTAAGAAACTGCAACTGGACCCCAGCAACTTAGCTAATTATACTTGTAAACAATCGCTCCATTGTGCTTAGCTGACCTCCACCCTACACAACCCTTAACACCCTCAGAACTACAGTCTGAACTGCTTTTACTGAATGTCAATCTTGCAATGTGTTATGACTAGGGCCAGAGAGAATCTGCTGACATTTTCTGCTATTTCTGCATGGAATTGTGTGAAATTTTTTTTTCATTTTCTTGTCGGCTTACTCTCTTTATTAATCCGGGGTCGCCACAGCGGAATGAACCGCCAACTTATCCAGCAAGTTTTTACGCAGCGGATACTCACAACCCATCTCTGGGAAACATCCACACACACATTCACACACACACTCATACACTACGGACAATTTAGCCTACCCAATTCACCTCTACCACATGTGTTTGGACTGTGGGGGAAACCGGAGCACCCGGAGGAAACCCACGCGAAGGCAGGGAGAACATGCAAACTCCACATAGAAACACCAACTGAGCCGAGGTTCGAACCAGCGACCTTCTTGCTGTGAGGCGACAGCACTACCTACTGCGCCACTGCCTCGCCTAATACCTTTTTAACTATTATTTAATGTTTACAATGCAAATCCAATTAGATTCACTTTATTTGGTAAACAAAGCAAGTGTCTCATATAATATCTCTACTAAAAGACAGAAAATATTACTGTTTAAACAGTATTGTAAATAAATCAAATTAATATTTTCATGTCAATAAATATACTGAAATTAATTTAAAAACTGAAAAAATATAAATGTACACACATTTACACAAGTGAATAAACAGAATAAATGATGGGCTAAATATCTGTGGAAATCTGCGCGTGCAGATTCCGTGTGGGCCTAGTCGTGAGCTTCAGTAGTATATGATACTGTAAAAAAACAATTTCTGGTTCACATGCTTAGACTGAAACTTGACAATAATTTGCAAGTCAAACCTAGGGTCTGTTCTTCGTTTGTGGATAAATCAGTTAGCTGGATTTGGATATTGACAATTTGGACCGATTCAGGATCATTTCGTTCTTCAAAGATCCGAGAGTTGTTGTCATAGCAACAGTTCTGATAGCTCAAACCTGGTCAGGAGCAGGCTCAATTCATATAAACAGGATTAGATCGGCTCAGTTCAAGCAAAGATAATACAGAAAGTATGTACCAAATGCTGATATTTTCTTACAGTAGTAGTTATATACACTTTGGGAAATAGTAAATATTTTTAAACTAAATATATAAAGTTATATGTATATATATATATATATTAATAAAACTGAAATATAAGTACAAAGACTGCCACCTGCTGGTGCAAAGAGAAAACTTATTGTTATGAACTTTTTAGATCGCTTTAGAACAATTTGTGCATGATAATAGAAACAATATGTGACTTTTTAAAAGCAATACATTTATGCAGTAATAAACATGTTTTTTCAGTTAATATGACGGTGATTTGATGCTTCATAAAAGTTGCAGACGCCTTTATCTTTATCAAAATGATTTTGTAAACAACCAGTTATTCTTTACACGGATTAAAAAAAACGGCTACTATAACACTACTATAATAAGGAAAATCCGCTCTAACTGTAAAACTAAATAAACTGCTATTGACACATGAAAGGGCCAAGCATGCAGCCCACAATAAGGTGTAAAGTTATTGCGTATAATATTTAACAAGCCGTTTACTACTAATTTATTGTAATTTGCTCACATGGATAATTGAATATTAATCAGATGATGTCATTACGCTGCTGTGCCGTCAGGATATGGCTGTAAAGAGATATTAATCCAATATTAATGTAACAAAAACAAAACAAAAGCCATTTCAAAAAAAAAAAAACTTTAAAAAGATAAATTTACATGCCTCTCTCCTTCTGATAAAATTAGCTTGTTTGTGTGTCGGCCATTTTGGATGCAGTGTAAGAAGTGGTTCCTAGCCTGCCAGCCTATCAAATGACATATCACTGTTTTTTTCCCCTTCCCTCTCTTTCATCTTCTACTTACTACTACTATTATTATTGTTATTATTTTATTATTATTATTATTATTATTATTATTTATTGTTATTATTATTACTTGTCCTCTCTCTGATTTCCCAAACTCCCCTTCCCCCGCGTCACTTTTATCATTAATGGTATTACTTTTACTTTTGTTATCATTATTATTATTATTACTGTTCTGACCTGTCCTCCTGTTATCTTTTCATTATCATTGTTATAAGTATTAATACCATTATCATTATTAAGGTTGCAGTAGTTGTTGTAGCAGTAGTAGTAGTAGTCATTGTTGGTGTAGTAGTAGTAGTAGTCATTGTAGTAGTATCGATTGTAGTTGTATTTTGAAGTAGTAGTTCCTGTAGTAGTCGATGTCGTTGGTATAGTGGTAGCAGAAGTAGTAAAGGTGTCGTTGTAGCAGTAGTAGTAGTAGTCATTGTTGGTGTAGTAGTAGTAGTAGTAGTCATTGTAGTAGTTTCGATTGTAATTGTGATTTATTGAAGTATTAGTTCCTGTAGTAGTTGATGTTGTTGGTAAAGTGGTAGCAGAAGTTGTAAAGGTGTCGTTGTAGCAGTAGTACTCGTTGTTGGTGTAGCAGTACCAGTAGTAGATGTCGTTGATGTAGATGTTGTAGTAGCAGTGATTGCGGTAGTAGTAGAAGTAGTAGTAGTAGTAGATGTTGTTGTATTGTAGTTGTAGCAGACTCTGTAGTAATATCAGTAGTGGTAGTCATTGTTGTAGTAGTATCAGTATTAGTAGACATTGTAGTAGTAGTAGTCGTGGTTGTGGCTGTAGTAGAAGCAGTAGTAGTTGTAATATAAGTAACTTTCTGTAGTAGTAGTTGGTGTAGCACTTGTGATTTATTATTATGGTTGTCATTTATAACTGTTGTCCTTTCTCTCTTTTTACTCTCATTTTTACTATCATACATTAATAAGCATTGTTGTTACTCCCTACCTCTAACTGGTTTCTTTCTATATGTTTTATTTATATCTGCGCTACTTGCTACATTTAATGACTGTTATTGTTCCTTATGTATGTACTCTGACCTGTCCACCAAGTTACCACACACACACACACATACACACACACACACCTAACAGTACCTGACTATATTGTTTTTCGTTTGTTTTTTGTTGACATTTTTTTTGTATTTGTATGATCCCAATTTATGTACCTTTTTGCATATCCTAAAAAAAAAAGACATATCACTAGAAACCCCTGTATGTCCTCTGAACAGTACAACAGGACTTGACAGAGTAGCTCAAAATATTCAAAGGAAATTCATGAAAACACAATATCCACTGCAGAGGACACACGTCAATGGGCAGGGTCTCAGGAGGATATAACCACAACTATCAACACTGGAATGTGAAAATAAGGGAAACAAGTTGCAAATAAATAAGCAAACAGTTTTAACAATTAAAATGAATAGCTATTATAAAGAAATAGTATCAAAGTATTGAATCTCATTAACCTTGTCTTCACTGTATAACTTAAACACACTGATTAAACGTGCATTCGATTGCTTCCCAAAATTTTTACCCTCGACCACATTCAAATGAACACACTGCTGCAGGAGTACAGAAACATGTCAAAGAGGAAGAAAAATGAAAAGGGCCTTTGTTTAGAGTAATAAACAAATAATGTGACGTTCTGAATGACGGATGAGAGCAAATATAGATCACACAGTCTGAAGCTGCAGACAGAAACATCAGACTGAGGACAGAAACACACCAGCTCTGAGGTAAGAACACACACATCTACATTATACACACAAACACACTTCTGACATCTGTTGAGGTTCATATTGATTGTGTATTCTGCATTAATGCTTCTCTTTTACTCAAATGTTTTACTCCTAAATGGATGTTTTTTTTCTTCTTCAGAAATGGCTCAGACTCTATATTTCCCTCTTCTCCTCATTGGTGAGTGTGTTTGTAGTTTTATTCATGTTTTATAGTTTCATTAGGTTTGACTCTGTTCTGAAAAACATTAAAGCAAAGTGTCTCTTTCACAGCTCTCTGCTCCATATCTGAATGTGTTCAGCGTCAGTATCACTTTATAAATGAGAAGATGGACTGGACTGAAGCTCAGAGATACTGCAGAGAGAATTACACAGATCTGGCCACTGTTGATAACATGAACGACATGATCCAGCTGAACAAGAGTGTGAAAGTGAATGACAGAGGGGTCTGGATTGGTCTTCAGGGTACATATGACAGTAATTGGCATTGGTCTTCAGGTGATTCTGTGCTGTTTCTGAACTGGGCATCTGGACAACCATACAGCGGTGATAATTGTGCTGTTATGATTAATGGAAAGTGGTTTGTTGGATCATGTAGTGTTACCTGGACTTTCATCTGCTACAACAGTGAGTACAAACCTCAATGAAATAATGTGATCATGCTAGAAAATGATATATTATCCAATATATTTTAATTTATGAAAACTAAAGGAAAAAGTGTTTTCTGATATGTCTAAGTTTTGATGTTACTGTTGAACTGAAGAGTGAATTATAAGTCTATGTTTAAGTCTATATATTGTTTTTCTGATAAAAAATAATAGTAATAATAATAAATAAATAATAAATATGTTCATACTGCATGCTTTTGATTAACAAGCTGCATTTCTTAAATCATCAAATATGTCATGAAAGTATATAGTATTATATGTTAGTTGATTAAAGAGTAGAATCACACGTTGACATATACTGCATGTGTATTAACATGTTCAGTAGATTCTACACATGCAGTAGCATATTTCATCACATGCAGTAATAAAATAATGTATTACTGACTATGTGACAATTATAAACATGTAAATGTATTGTGAACATTTTGATATAATAAATAATCAACCCACTGTGGTGGTGCAGTAGGTAGCAATGTTGTCTCACAGCGAGAAGGTCGCTGGTTTGAGCCTCGGCTGGTTCAGCTGGGATTTCTGTGTGGAGTTTGCATGTGAAGTATGTGCTTTACTCTGTGTATGGGTGTTTCCCAGTGATGGGTTGCAGATGGAAGGGCATCCGCTGCATAAAATATGCTGGATAAGTTGGCGATTCATTCCTCTGTGGCGACCCCTGATGAATGAAAAGATGATGATTTAGAAGCATTTCTCGACATTGAGATTCATTCGTTTTATTTTCGGTTTAGTCTCTTTATTAATCTGGGGTCACCACAGTGGAATGAACCACCAACTTATCCAACATATATTTTACACAGCGGATGCCCTTCCAGATGCAACCCATCACTGGAAAACGCCCATACACACTTAATCACACACATACACTATGGCCAATTTTAGCTTACCCAATTCACCTGTACCACATGTCTTTGGACTTGTGGAGGAAATCAGAGCACCCGGAGGAAACCCACAGCAAAACGGAGAGAACATGCAAACTCCACACAGAAATGCCAGCTGAACCAGCTGAGGCTCGAACCAGCGTTTTTCTTCCTGTGAGGTGATCGTGCTACCCACTATGGCACCGCGTCACCGACATTGAGATGAAATGTTACATTTTATATTGTTGAAAAAGAGATGAATATTAAAAAGTGTATACATTAAATGTGAAATATATTTATTTGTTTACATTTAGTCAGCGAAACACTTACAGTGTTTATTAAACTCATTAGGTCATCGTCTGTTTCTTTTAAAGTCTTTAAATTTAATATAAGGCCATAAGGGCAAACATTTAATTTAATTCATAGGGCATATAATTCAATAAATATAATCCAATAATTCTTATAAAAGCATAAACTGTCATAAATATTAACATATTAAGAAGATAAAATTAACATCTGCACTGGAAAAAAATATTTAGCACAGCCTTGTGTGCTTAATTTGAACAAGAAAAAATATTCAACCTAAAACATGAAATAAAAGTTATGGAAACCAAAAATCGAACTTTCTCAAGCATCAACATATTGTTACAACATCAACTTGTATATTTTTTATTGTATTTCTTGATAAGTAATGCTTCAATGAATGATCTGCCAGATAGAACCTTATAACTCTAAGTGGAAAATGACTTTTCAGAATGAGAAGGTTCTCTCTGCATTTACAGTGGTTTATTCACTCCAATTTGCAAATGTAAGAGAACTTTGATAATTTACATTTAGAGAACCCTTAGGGTCTCTGTCATGTTAATGTATGAAAGAAAACTGTTACACACATACTGTTTGCTATATGAAATGCAAAAACTTTCAAGCGCAATATCTCAAAATCATTCAGAACGCAGAGAGTACCTTATAATTCTAAGGTGACGAAATATTCAAGGCAGATATTCTGTTGTGGCAGATCTCAGTAATATTTATAAATATAACAGCTCACTCTATTGGTAACAAAGGTGTTTCTGATGATGCTTCTGTTCATCCTTTCATCCATTAAAGTCAGCGGAGGACTGGTGTTTATCAATCAGACGATGAAGTGGACAGATGCTCAGAGTTACTGCAGACAGAATCACATTGATCTGGTCAGTGTGAGGAACCAGAATGAGAATCAACAGCTGGAGAAGTTCATTAATGACAGTCAGACATTTGGATCTGCAGTCTGGATCGGTCTGTTCAGAGACATTTGGCAGTGGTCAGATCAGAGCAACTCCTCATTCAGATACTGGATAACTGGTGCACCTCAAGCTCCAGATGATAAACGCTGTGCAGCAGTTGCACAGTACCCTCAGGGACAATGGCTTGACTTCTTGTGTAGTGTTAGATGGCAGTTTCCTTTTGTGTGTCATGAAGGTGAGCAGATCATCCAAACACATTCAATCCATCATCAGCTCCAGGGGTCTGTTCTTCGTACCTCGCTTAAATGATCTAAGACAATCGTTTTCAAACTGTGGTATGTGTACCACTAGTGGTTCCCAGGCTTCCTTTGATGCGTACGATAACACAGACACTCCTGTGATCAGACAGCTTTGGCTGTTCCCTGGAGTATACCATTATGCTAGTGTGCTTTGAATATTTACTTAAGTACATCACATCATCAGATGTTAAATATCAGCTCGCTTGCAGCAGAGCCAAAGAAATATGTGTGCGGCGTCTTCACACATGATCCAAATTAGATTACAAATGTGATTAAATGTGTGTTTTTGATATATACAGTTATTTGTTTTTTAAAGCAGCATGGCTTTCGGTTTCATAGGTCACCTCAGATTTAAGCTAATTAATTTGGTTGTGATTCAAATAGGGCAAGACACAGAACATAGACTCAAGCAACTTTGCCATGCTTAAAGCTTTGAGGTGGAATATAATTAAAGTTATTCTCCATTGAACACAGGGAGTAACCGCGAACTGTACCCGAATCTGCTTGAAGTTGTTGGTGTGCGGCTAATGCGAACTTCACAGTTTACTTAAAAAGTGATCTTATTCGCACTCAATCATGGAAATACCGCACGTTAAAGTTGGTCCATCTCTCCATATGTGCATTTAATAACTCACTTATCTGACACACAAAGGCCGCCTGCTGCAAATGACATGCAGCAGATCTAATTTCTAATTTAAATCAGTAATTCCAAATCATCTACTTAAAATACACGTAAAAGTTTAGATAAACAAATATGCTACATGTACACTAATGTACAGCTTATGTTTCAAAATGTATACAAATTATATATATATATATATATATATATATATATATATATATATATATATATATATAAATTATTCGCGATTAATCACAATTAAAATACTGAAACTTGTAATTTTGGCTATTTAAATGTAAAATTAGTGTAAACGCAAGAAAAAAATATTTAAATTCAAAATATAATTGTTTAATAAAATTTTTGTTTAACTTTTAACACAGATTTCTTTATGTAAACAACATACCCACAATACACCATCAAGATCCTGCTTGACAGCCATTACAGAAATTAAAACACAGGCATGTTAATGACATTTAAATTTCAAAACAATCAATGCCAATAAAGAAAACATTGATTTCCATGTTGGATTCTAAGTGGACTGCAAAAAAATGCCAAAATACAGGAATTGCAGATATGGAAAATGAAAAATGATAATAATAAACTATAGAATACAAACTGTTGCACTCATTGTAAAGATTTATTGCTGTGAGTTGAGAACATTAGTTATAGAGTAGAAACAATTTTGCTTAATCCTCCTTTACATTCATCCAGTTGCTAAGACTAGGAGGATCCCGCAAGTGCACAGAGACTCCCAAATGCCCGCAAATGAATGATAATTTCTTGCAAACCGGTCGTTAAATACATTGCACACCTCTCTCCCCCTACTCAGATACGTCGCTCACTCCACCCCTGACACCCCTCAACGGACCTGACACAGACACACACACAGACACACACACAACGCGCTGCAGACGTTTCGGCCCCAACGGCCTTCCATACTGGAGCGACTCCCCTCAGATTCAACACGCATGATCACGTTCATCAAATTTGCTTAAACTAAGCGTCCTAAAGTATTACTGTATTTCACAAGGATTCTGACACAACAACGCGAAGCATACGCTTTCATTGCGTTTAATGAAGAAACACGCTAAACTTGGAGGGCTCATGCTGAAAGGCAGAGTAATGCCCTGTCTTTGACAGCTTGCGACTTCACCAGAGACGTTTTGAGTACATTCACATAAGACACCAATACTCCGATTTTAATATGATTAAGATAATACTCTTATTAAAATTCTACCATGTAGCCTTAAAAGGAACCTTACCTTAATAGGAACACCGAGTCACGAAAAGCGGAGGATTTTCTTTCTGTTCGCCATGCGGTATCAACTTACAACAGAAGTCGAAAGTTAAAAATGAAACACCTGAAATAAAATGAAACTCTAGATAACCTGTGATGCGACTAATTGTTTTATACTGGAACTTGCCTTCAAAAAGTGCTTCCTTGGTCTAATCCACATTTATTGCATGTTAAACACACGTCCACCACAACAGGAAGTAAAAAAAAACGGAACTGCGTTAATTGCGTCAATTTTTTTTTACGCGTTAATTATTTTAAAATAATCGCATGCGTTAACGCGTTAATTTTGACAGCGCTAATATATATATATATATATATATATATATATATATATATATATAGTGGTGTAGCGGACGGGGGGGCCCCATGTGATTAGGGGGCCCCGTTTCATTGCGATTTTTCATAATTGAAAATCCAGCAACCGCAATAATTAAACCCCTGGGAAAAACCAAAGTTCACAAGTCTGTGTTCTCTGAACTCCTCTCAAACGGTGGACTACTTCATTCTGATTGTTTGCGGCCGAACCGCGTCATAGCTCATTATCATAAAGTTGACTTGATTTCAACTCTCCCCGACACCCACACTAGAGAAGATGAGCCGCGCTGCTCCTCGCCACTGGTTCTCATTGAAAATGAATGACTTCCAGCTACTTTAAAGCTCTCGCTGCTTGTTTGTGAACGCCACCCTGCGTCGTCGCTCCACCCCACCCCCTTTTCCGCTCCTTAGTTTGTGATTGCTCCTCAGTTTGTAAAGGCTTCCCCGCGTTGTCACTCCACCCCGCTCCCTTTTCCTGCTCCTCAATTTATGATCGCTTCCTCGCTCCACCGACTCTCCCCGACCCCTTAGTTTGTGATCGCTCGACCCCCCCCATACCCCACCCCCTCACGGGGCCCCGTCAGTGATCCCATACATATATATATGTATGTTTGACATAGCCTGTATTTATCAGGTCCAAGCAACATTTCCAGGTTTTGATGAATAAGCTACTATACAACAATAATACTTTACAGGTACAGCAGTTTTCTTTTTGATTTTTAATAACAGTACCATTTTTAATTAACATTTAAAAGCACATTTTAATGTGAACCGTGAAGTTTTTGTTTTTTTGTTTTTTGGCTGCAAATGCAGTTAATGTTCAAACTATAACGGTTAAAGTGGCTGACAATAATACATATTCTTAACAATAGAAATTAATCTGCCTTGTTTTTGATTTGTGCAGAGCTTTAGCTGCTTAATTATGCCTGTATGCTACTGTATTTCAACACTGGGCATTATGGTGGTACTTGGAGAGACAATTTTTGTCTGAGGTGGTACTTGGTTAAAAAAGTTTAAGAACCAATGGTCTAAGGCCCCGTTTACACTAATGCGTTTTAGTTTGAAAACGCATAAGTTTTGCTACGGTTACGCCATCCGTCCACACTACGCCGGAGTTCTCGAGCGCCGAAAACGGAGCGTTTCGAAAACGCTGGAGAGGCCGTTTTCATTCTGAAACGCTGCTGCTCCGTCTCAGTGTGGATGATGGAAAACGGAGACATTTGAAAACGGAGGCGGGGCTGCAGACATTCGCCTCTCTGATTGGGGCTTTTCCTGAATATTAAGTAGCCTAACACGCACAGTTCAGTCCTGCAGTCCTGTTAAAACTTCGCAAGTTTGATCATGGCTGCAGTCTCTTCTTCTCAGTTTGATATGGAAAACAGACTATACCGAGGACACGGGTAAATCTTCAAAGGGAACAGTGTACTTTATAACTTCATTCACATCACCCTGGCTACGTTGTTTTACTTTCTCAACAATAAAATGTAAACATGATATAAGGAACTGCCTATTTTCATTTTAATATTAACAACTAAACAGACAGCAGAAATGTTGAGGCGTCGTGCTGCAAATATGAGCGTCATCTTCACTGTGTGCATATTTATAACAAAACGGAGCCTACAACAACTGCCTCCTTTCAATTTCAGTGAAAATACGAAACACACCCTCTCTTTGCTGAATATCAGTTTTAATCGATAATGGCCATTATAAAAGTATAACATACAATAAGTTTATACATTATAGGAAATAAAGGCAAGCGATCAGTCAATATACAGAATGTACGTGCTTACATTAATCATTAACTTATCTTTGCGCTCAGCCAAAACACGTTACCTGAGAACAAGTAATAGATTCCAATGTCCAATGAATATGTCGTTAAATAAAGACAACAAGATGAAAGAAATATTCCGTTTAATAAATATAGTGAGGTTAGATCCAGCGGGAGATGCTTGATGAGAAGTCCGACTAGCACAGCTCTCATCTGGGTAGATTGGCTACAGCGCTTGCCTGAGAGTGTGTGTGTGGTCACGTGATGTGCGTTTTCAGCGTTTTGGTGTGGACGGAGAGCAGTTCAGAAACGCTGGGTGAAATGCGAGTGTGGACGAGGATCGTTTTCATTCTAAAACGCCGTTTTAAAACTAAAACGCACTAGTGTAAACGGGGCCTAAGATGATTTGGCAGATCCTGGATCTTTTAATCTTGATAACTGATCTCTGGCTAATTTGGTTCTTCAAACAAGTTCGCAAATCAGATTAAAATGTCTGCATGAACTGATCTGAGACCAATGTGAGTGTTGTGAAGGACAGATCTATCCTTCCTCGAAATCATGACCAGTATTGCAACGATTGGCTGACAGCACAGCAGCGTAATGACATCATTGATGCATTAAAATTTATAGTAATCGGTTTGTTAAATATGATACCCAATAACTTTCCACCTTTGTTGTGGGCTGCAGGCAGGGCCGCCCCGTGGCATAGGCAGTATAGGCAAATGCTAAGGGCGCTGTACATCCAGGGGGGTGCAGAAATGAGCGCGGTTCAGTTGGTTTTGTTTTCGATATTCCTGACACGTTCAGTGGTAGACGGCAACAACTCAAAAACCTCTTACCCTAAAAAGATCTAAAGTGTGTTTCCTACAAAAAGACAAAGCTGGTTCCCTTTCGGGTGGGGAACTCCAATGCTATAGGTGGATTTGATTGTAGA